CTACCAAACAAGCACTAAATATAAAAATGTTGATGAATAAAGATTAAAAACCTTAAATGTGCTCTACTCAATTTATAAAATGAAGTGGTATGAATATAAGCATCAAATACTTAAAAGTGTAATATAATAAATAAAAATTGTGGTGGCAATGTAGCGACCGTATATTTATATCCTAAATTTTATTTTTGTATTTCCTTTTGAATTGTACTAAAAAAAATTTAATCTTTATATATTATTGCAATTATATTGCAACCTTTTTTTAGTATTTTTTTTCTCAAACTTCTATTAATTATCACGTCTAGTCTCTGCTGTTGATTTATGTCTGTATATTATGTTAACATGCTTTACACGATAAATCCGACTCATCTAAAGCTCTATATGACCCTACATTAAAATAAGTTCTATGTCTCAATTGGCATATAGTTTGTTAGGTTACTTAATTTTATTCTTAATTATTTTGGGTCGTCTAATTTTTGATTTATGTGCAATTATTGGTGCTTTATCTTTGCTTTCTTGTATCACGTGTTATTCTTTAGACATCTTTTGCATTATTAGTAATCTTTTTTTAAGTTGATTGGATGGCACCTTCCATAATAAGAAGCTTTTGTTTTTATATTGAATTTAATGATTAAAATATTATTACCAGATAATCAAATAGAATATCATGACATTTAATAACTCTTAAATTCTGTCTCTAATAGAATTAAATTCACGTGATTTTCGTATAATTACTTAAATTATAGACAGAATTCTCGACATTATCAGTGACTTTATAGGTTCTTTAATTCATGGAAACTGTAGAAAAAAAATAAGAGTTTACGAAAAAAATTATTAGAAGGGCAAAATGATTATTATAGCTAGTTTTAATTATTGAACATGAGCTCGTGGGTCGGCAAGATGTACTTGTCGAATAACATAAACTTATATGTTTGTATACAATTCAAGAGTGCAGTATCCTGCCTCTAGCTGAATGTGCAATGTAACAGTTCGGATCGAGCAGTTGATGATTGATTAAGCGGAATCTTATTGTTGGAGCTTGAATTATATAATTTTTATGGAGTCGACTCGAACTTAATTACGTAAATAATCAAAGTTCAAGAATGGTGTCTGCAAAAATACCCAAAGTATTAATCCCAAACCTAAGTGGACAAGGAGGGATGGAGGCTGGTGTTGTCCGAGGCAGTGTGCATCATAGAGAGAAATTCTGTCTCTAATTCCCCCTATCAATTTCTTGGATTATGGGATTTGGGCTTTGATTTTTGGTCTCACTCAGCCGCCTAGTTAAATCTTCACAGAATATAAATTAAGACTTGAAGGTTGAAAGCTCGTAGATTCATGAACTTCATAATTCAAAATTAAGAGGATGTTTGGTGAAAAATAACATTAAATTTTTAGTAGATTTTGATAGAAGTTTTTAAAATGTGTGGTTGAAAAATTGTGGAACTCATGAAAAATGTGGTTAATATTGATTGTTTGGCGACTTGAATTAAAATCTAATTTTGGTCGGCAAACAGGGGCTAAATCTTAATCAACAAGCCAAAACAGCAACAGGGGTCGAACACGTGACAAAATCAAGAACGAATGTAACTACTGAACAAATGATTTCGGCTTTAAATCCTTGTGTATTATATATTAGAAGATTACGACACCTATTGAATATATAACCATGTTCTCTTTGTGAAAATTAGTGATTAACAAATTATTTCATACGAGTGTCCCCTCTTTCATATTAAATAAGTTAAGTTCCTAGGTGAATAGGGATTTGGAGAGAGTGATACATAATCTTCAATTTCAGAGTCGCCCTACCAAGAATTGGCACCACCATTTCCGCGCTAATGAAGAAAGATATGTTAAAGGATAAATCTTACATCGATTAAATGCAAAAGTTATAAATAAAGTATAAAGCTTGAAGTAACTCCAAGAAATTAAAGTACATGGTGTGGTACTATGAAATGAAATTGAGGTTGGCCCTCAATGGCATGCAGGGTGCCCGAAGCACTATATAAACATGTTCTGTTGCTGTTCAACTGGACGGACCACCAGGTACATTTTATTGTTATACAAGGACATATAATAAAGGAAAACATACACCAAACCAACTTGGAACATATTCAAACTGCAAATCCACACTAGAACACACACTTTGATTTACTTACAAATCAAATTAAATCCCAGGTCAAGCTAGTCTGCGCCGGATTTATTGTGCTTGCCGAGGGGGCACCTGGGATTCGTGGGGGTGTAGAATCGAAAGTTTCCCATTGCATGGTAATCACAACAGGTTCTGTGGCCAAGTGACTCGATGGTTGCTTTAGTGAATCTATTAACGAATGCTTAGCTTGTTGCTGTTGAAGCGGAGTTGAAATGCTCGGGTTTGAATACCTATTCTGATGAACCGGTGGTGATGAGACGAGCCCACTTGAGTAAACCTTCTGTTGAGTTGATGTTGTCATAGAGTTCTTGATCTTCAACATATCCAGTGTTTCAACATACTTCTGCACTCTTTTCGCCTACAAATTAGCATCAAATTAAGAAGTTTTGATATTATAACGTCATCTCAAATTCAAGAACTGTGGAATCACATCAGTACCTGCATTTTTCTTTGTAATTTCACATCATCATCTCCAATGACACCATCTAATTTAAGAAGTTGATTCATCAGCAACTCAATCAGATTTATCACATCTTTTTCAACCACTTTTCCTCCTCGAGAAATTACAGATTCAAGCGACGAAACCTACGCAATGAAAAACGTTAATTCACAACATTTAATTACCATTGAATCTATTCATTTACTTATCGATTCATTTACCTGTCGAGCAAGCCTATCGATCTCCAAGGTGATTTCCGATATTAATTTCTTATCTTTTTCGATTTTCGCTTTTTTCTTCATCTCCAAATACCTCTTCTCTTTGCCAATGGTATCCTCAACTAGAACAATTTTGGACTTGTCCTTAACTCCTGCAGCATCAAGAAATGCTTTGGAATCTCTCTCTTTATCCTTGTAATATAATTTCTGATCCTGATGATGCAAACCTGTTGGCCCTGTTAACATCTTCTTCAACTCCCCTACACACATTTCCAAAAAAATTTAAATTTAAATAATCAATTAATCATTAATCAATTAGCAAAATTATTGAGAATTACCAAAACTGGCTTCAGAACTAATACGGATTTGGTGATTAATTGACCCATATTTGACATAAACCCTGATCATGGGTGGTGGTACGAGGTTTTGGTCAGCGCCTGTCCGTTTCTGAACTAGCATTCCGCCGGGCCTCAGCTCCCATTCATTATCAGCGCCGGCAGCCGCGGAGGAACCACCGCTCATATGTGGCAGCTCATTTCTTCTAGTTTTCTTTCTCATCATTTTCGATTCTTGTGCAATACAAAGACTCTCCGCCTGCAACAAAGTGTAGAAACTGAGAGAATTTGAACTCAATTCATAGTACTGACATTGAGTTGATCATCGTACATATCCCATCACAGAGTTCAGACAAAAACCTTAAAAGCACAGAAACCTCAGCATTACACGAGTCCGACACCGTAGCCACGCGTCAATAAACAGAATCTAAATACGTATTACGCCGTAACTACTCCATTTATGCCTTGAGTGAGAAAGTAAATTGAAAATTGTATTTAATCGCCGGATAGAGGTCGCCGGCGGTGAGTACCGGAAAAGTAAATATTACGATGTGGTTTGGTGTTGAAATTATCTGGAAGGTAGATAGAATCAATGGCAGCGTAAAATCTGGCAATAATTATGAGAGTGCAAATCTTGAAACTCCGATCATCCCGATTGGAATTAGCCGGGAAAATCAATGTCTGCAGAGAAGAATAATGGGAAATATAGAAAATGAAAAATAAATTTCTTTTATATTTTATTTTTTTTAACAAACATCTCTCTCTGCTTAGCTGTTAATTAAGGAGAGGCTAAAGAAGAATGCATTACTCTTTACATAAATATTCGTGTATGATTGTCATTAAGAAAAAAAAAATTATTAAATTTCATCACTATATCATGTTGCATTATATGTCATCCCTCAAATGGATAGAAATCAGTACTTGACGATCATAACTTAACTAATTATCTACACGAAAATGGTAAAATATGAATACCATGTATATAACTACTCGTGTATGATTGTGGTTAAGAAAAAAAGTCATCCATTACTATGTATGTAAATATTCGTGTATGATTGTAATTAAGAAAAAAAGTCATCAAATTTTATTTCTAATTGTATCACTACATCGTATTGCACAACGTGTCATCCTCGAATGGATAGAAATCCTTAGTTGACGGTCATAACTTAATTTATTATCTACACAATCACAATATGAAACCCTAAAAAACGAAAAATGATAAAAATAGGAATACCATGTAAAATATAAATACTCGTGAATGATTGTGATTAAGAAAAAAGTCGTTAAATTCTATTTTAAATTTCATCGATATATCATGTTGCACCATATGTCATCCCTCAAATAGATAGAAGTCCTTAGTCGATGGTAATAACTTTAACTGATTATCCACATAATCACAACTATGATACCCTAAAAATAAAAAAGGGTAAATTCGGAAAACTATGTAGATAAATACTAGTGCATGATTGTGATTAAAACAAAAAATTCATTGAAGTCTATTTCAAATTTCACCACTATATCATGTTGTGGCACGTGTCATTCCTCAAACAGATATAAATCCTCAGTCGACGATCATAACTTAACTGATTATCTACATCATCTTAACTATGATACAATAACTTAATTGATTATCTAAATGGTAAAACACGAGTTATATATGGTAGTAAGTTGACTTGGTTGATAATATTTTATCAATTTGGGACAAGGCACACAATCGATGCTAGTGTTTAAAGATTTTAAATAATTAGAAAAAAAGCACACTTCAAAGAAGAGTTAGAAACTTTAACTCATTCCTTAAACATTGACTATTTTACATAAATTATTTTTGTCTTCACTTAATTGTCCTTGTTTCCTACATTTTCACGTAAGCATTTTAATATGTTAATTATTTCTTTTTGATTTTCTTCTACCCCATTTAGCAAGGTAGAGCACTCAAATCAAGAATGCATTTTAGGAATTTAATATGTTGCTAATTATTGTCCTAATAATTATGAAGAGGTTAAAATCCAGTGTCAAATCTTAATCGAGGTACCATGCTTGTATCATTCATCTAACGGTGGTCATTTATCTATCATTTGCTTTTATTGTTGTAATTTAGTCTATGTTTGGGTTATATTAAAATTGATAAAATTTTTAACTCAAAGTTTATAATTAATTTTAGGGCTGTCCGTGGGTCGGTTCGGTTCGGTTCTGAAGAGACCCGAGCCGACTCAAAACTTTCGGGTATTTAATAAATAGAACCGTCGGGTCCAAATATAATTATGGAACCGTTCGGGTTCGGTTCCGTTCGGTCCGATTCGGGTCCGTTCGGTTCTGTACCATAATTAAATTTTTTAATATTTACAGCAACACTACATAAATATAATTAATGACATTTCATTTGTAATTTTTACAAATTAACGTAACCCAATTCAAAAACATATAAATAACTA